CAGGACACAGCCATTATCCGTCCTGGCCTCATATCAAATGTGAATGCAGACTGAGTCTGTGTTTGACGTTTGCTTTATATCTAATCTTCCTCTCAAACATTTAAACAGCAGCGAGTCTGCAGCTGAGGGAATAGAAACTCAAACTGTCGGAACAGATTTGCTCATTTCTTGCGTGTATTCATTTGGTGATTTATTAAATGTATAACTGTTATTCTAATCTGCTGCTGAGTCTCTTACGTTGATGAAAACGCAGGTAACACAGATCACGGACACCTGTTCAACCAATCACTTTCATTCCACTTTGATCTGCGAAAAACTGACGGTTCATCTCTGTTACAGTGTTGCGTTAGACTATATTTTTGTGTTCTTTATGCTGTAGATTTACACGTCTCTGAAATAGTTGGCAGTAATAAGGATGATTTTCTGTAAAATCATATTGATATGACCCGTGACATTCGTAGATGACAGTTAGATCAGTCAGCTGGGGAAACTGGGTTAACTCATAGAGCTGAAGATATCGTGGATATGCTGACCTCGCTCCGTGGTGTACAGGGCCATTTACCCTCAATATTCACAATACAAATATTAGCCGAACATCATAAAGTCTGTATGTGTTTCATAGTGTCGAACAACGCCAGCACTGTTAAAGCCAGCAGTTACTACATGACGGAAACACCAACGTTATTTCTTTTAAGCGTTTATATGCAGGTCACGCTGATTACTGAACAAAAACCCAAAGATCAGCTGTTAATCGAATTTATTTGCTCTCTCTCCTCCTTAAACATGTTTTTAATGTTAGTTATAATTCAGAATTGGCGACTGAAACACGTAGGACACATAAGAACATCAGGAAATAAAACCCTGATAAATATAACCTCAGTAAAAGAAGTCAGTGTCAGCGGGGGTTATTACAGCTGTGTACCGGGGCCTGCGCTTTGTCGGTGGTAATAACAGCTCGATTGCTTGCGAGGCGAACGGGTCTATCCCACGCTTTGCCGTGAGACTGGGCTGGGCGGACATCTCCGAAATCATCGAAGCACTTTTGCAAAGAGGCTCTATCTTGACAAACCGACCAGACATCTGAAGATTAAACCGCTACATTCTCGGCTAAAAAATATTAAAACGGTATTTGGTGACACACAAACAGGGTTTTTCAAAGTTCAGTTCTGTTAGTTTCCACATGCCGGTTGTTGAGTGCTAAAAACAATGGCCACCAGGCCAAAGCAATGGTTTTGACTCAATCAGCGTTAACCCCGCCCCCTGAGTTTGATGGGTGAGGTTGACAGATAAAATTATTTCATGGTGAGACCTGAAGGAGTCAACTGTGCCTAAATAAATTAATTAAATACACCATTAAATAATTATTTAAATGTGGTAATAATTAATTAAAATGTTAAATAAATAAATAATTAATTAAATGTGTCAATAATTTATTAAATGTGTCATTAATTAATTAATTACATGTGTCGTAGATATTTATGTAATTAATTATTTCCGATTGTAATTAATTATTGCCACATTTAATTAATTATTTAATGGTGTATTTAATTAATTCATTATGGCAGTCCTGGCGTTCCATATCCCTGCAGCCTGCAAAACAGATTGTAGAGTGAGGTAAACAGTGTATAAGCTGCAGCTTACCCGAGTATTTCTCCAGAGCAGTGATAAGAGTCGGTATTTGGCTCACAGCCTGGTAGACACGATAACAATCCTGCAGCGTTGCCGTGTGACGGTGAAACTTCTTGGCCAGTCGATGAAGATCGGGAAACCGCCTCAGCAAATCGTCCTGACAGGTCTGCCTCAGCACAGAGTCGCACACAAAGCTTTCCACCAGGTCAAGCCTGCACAAAAATGTCCTCAGTAATTGTAAGTCCTGTAGACTGGCCTCCCCCAGAGCCTGGACCTCAGCGTTATCGAAGCAGTATGAAATTATCTTTGACTGAGAACAAAACAAAAGGCAGCCAACATCCAAAGAAGATCTCTGAATGTCCTCGAGGAAGCCTGGAGAAATACTCCTGAAGACTACTCAAAGGAAACATAAGAAAACCTGCCTAAAAAAGTTCAGAATTTCCATGTATGTGGACAAAACGGTAAATTTCTGCATCTATTTTGACTTTTTCTGTCAAATGATAAAAGCATGAGGGCTGATTCATAATACCATACTTCTATTCCCTTAAATGCCTCCTTTAAATGTATAATGTTTGTTAAGCTAAAGATGTTTGACAAGAAGGTCTTATCGCCTACAGACCTGGCATATTGCTAAGTTGGATTTGTTGAAGGTACAGAAACCCCCCCCCCCAATCCCCATCACTGCATTACCTCTCCTCTATTTTAGTTTTGTCCATGAGGGGCTGTTTGATCCACTGGTTGACCAACCGCTGACCCTGCGGCGTACGGCACTTATTCAACAAACCGGCCAACGAGTGAGCTCCGGTGGTGTCGTCAGGTGAACCCTGAAATATACAATTTAATAATAATAATATAATAATAATAATAAATTTTATTTATGAGCGCTTTTCAAGTCACCCAAGGACACTTTACAATAGGATAAAACACTCGGTAAAACAATGTCAGAATAAGAACAATAAAACAAAAGCACAAGATAAAATTAACAAACAGTGGATTCACAGTGAATATGCAGATTTGAACAGATGAGTTTTGAGTTGGGATTTAAACTGTGGGAGAGAACCAGTGTTTCTTATTTCTGGGGGCAGCGAGTTCCACAGCCTGGGAGCAGAGCAGCTGAAAGCTCTGCTTCCCATGGTGGTGAGCCGGAAGGAAGGTACAGCAAGCTGGATAGAAGAAGAACAAAGTGAACGGGAAGAACGGGTGGTGGTTAACAGGTCAGAAAGGTAAGGAGGAGCGGGGTTAGTACATACAGTATACAGTATTGCTTGTGTACAGTATACAGTATACAGTAGCTATGATGGTGGGAATGGGTCCAGTCAGCTCACATGCAAGGACCTCTAGAGAACTAAAGGTATCAACATTAACTGGCAGGACTTTCAAGTGCTGGCGAAAAAGGATCGCGAGACCACCCCCACGACCTGAGCAGCGGGGTTTAGAAAAGTAAACAAGCCCGAGAGGAGCAGATTCGTTTAGCTGAGAAAAGTCATCAGGTTGTTGCCAGGTTTCAGTTAAGCAGAAAAAGTCAAACTTATGGTCAGATAGGAGGTCTTGGATGAGAGGTCCCTTACTAGTCAATGAACGAATGTTTAGAAGACCGAAGTTGAGTGGAGTATCTTCTTTTTTGCTAATCGCGGTGGGCGCCCTGGGCAGGTGGGCTAGAGATTGATGGTTGACAGTAGGGCTGCTCAATTAATCGAATTTTAATCACGATTACGATCTGGGCTTTCAACAATCATTAAAAATGACTGAGCCGATTATTAGCCCCTCCCTCGTGCTTTACTCTCGCGCTGCTCCATGTGGCAAATTGAGCGCACCGCTCTGCATTTCGAACACGTGTCACAACAATTAAGAGCAGCGGTCCCCAACCTTTTTTGCACCACGGACAATGCCCGACAATATTTTCATGGACCGGCCTTTAAGGTGTCGCGGATAAATACAACAAAATAAAACTAGTACCGGTACCGAAAAAAAAGAAAATTTATTCATAACACACGTGAAAAGACCAAACGACTCGCGATGGATGTATATCCGGCGAGGCTGGAAAGTGATGCCCGGGTGGTAGTGGAGCTCCGCCGGCGACGGGAGCGATAGCTGCCCGCGAAGGCGCAGGAGCTCAGCGGCTGTATAGCAGAGCAGTCCAGCCGTAGGATGGTAGACGAGCGTCAGGAGAATCCAAAATAGTGCCGACCAGCTCAGGAACATCTTGGTCCACATTTTCGATTATGTGGAGGAAAAGGAGCCAAGCCGGCCGGAGCAACGAACAGGTAGGCTAAAATAGCTCAAACAGTTAAGCTAGTGCAGCTCACTGAGAAGAAGACGTGAGAACACATTAAGCTGAAATAACAGAAGTTGAGGACAAGCGTTGCAAATCAATCCCTGGCAAAGATCGATCTGGTCCTGAGTGTGAATGTCCCTGTTCATTCAAATCTGAATCCAAATATTCGAAAAATGTACCAGCGAGTAGCGGCAGCCAGGCGCGGCAGCCAGGCGCGGCAGCGTTCACTCAAGCCGGAATTTGCATGTTAATTGTGAATTTAACAGATTAATTACAAGTGATGCACAGACACATTGGGAATATTTTTATCACAGTCATATGTATTTGCTACATAACAGAAACAAAACAGGCTCAGTCAATAAAATCAACATGTGACAGCTACTAGAATTTGAAAGGGTTGCTGGTTTTCTAAATTTCTTGCTGGTCATTCCAAATTTGTGCTTTTGAATTCTCTAAATCACATCTTTTTGTTTTTCTAGCACAACAACAACCACAGTTCCTACAGAGCCTGCAACCACAAAGAGCCAAGAAAACAACACTTGTTATTCTGCTGCTCTTATCAAGATGAAAACCTTGAGGAGTTGACACCGGTCACTTACCTGGAAGAGATTAAGAGCCCTGACGGCAGCGTTGTCCAGCCTCATGTACTGACCCAGGTCCAGAGTGGTCAGGTTGAAGGAGTTGAAGTTGGACTCATCAGAGAGCAGTTCAAGGAAACGCACCACTGCAGCCAAACATGACATTGCCACCTGAGAATGACATCACACAAGGGACGCTATGGTCAAACTTCCCACATAGTGACCTGTTCGTATGCATGGCCTTCAGCCTGAGTGTGTCATTTAGTCGGCAGGAGCTGTTATGACTGGGATTTTATCAATACAGTTAATGATCCCAATAATGCTTAGTACTAAATGTTGTTGTAAAATAAAGACAAAAGTTTTTTCAAACCACCACCTTTTGTCAAAATGTTTGTTTTTTCCTGTTGTTCACCTGCTTGTCCAGCTCAGGTAGGGTGTTGCTCGCCACGGTCTCCCCTCTCTTTGCTCTCAGCAGCCGGTTGAGATCCTGGACCATGTCCTTGCTGTTGAACTCAGCTCTCTTCCTATGAGAGACTAGCATGCCGCCACGCTGCACCACCTACACAGACATACAAAAACAACAATATACTCCCATCAAAATCTCTGCTTATGCAGCCAGAGTATTAATATTAATTTTTTTAAGTCAGGCCTGGTTTAAAGAAAAGAACACTCATTTAAAGATTTCCCATTTTGCAAGACTGATGTTCATACTGATTTTTTTAACATAAGTAATTACCGTGCCCACATACCTCACGCAGTTTACTCCCATCAGCGTTAGCTTCCCCCTGGGCCAGGAGACACTCTTTGGGACTGATTTGGACAAGCAGGGATTCCAAGTTGGAGAATATCTCATTGTCTGGAAACTCGCACACTCCCATCGTCCTCTGGGCTGCATCCACATACCCGACCCCAACAACACGCTGTCCATCAGCTCCGGTTGCAAGCCGCACAGCTACGACACCTGCACAGCCCTCTAAGCCGCTTTCCCCACCAAAAAGGATCTCCTCAAGCTGAGTCAAGTTTCCTGGAGAGGCCTGCATTTAGACACAGTAGGTAAGAGCCAGAGTTGTTTTTTTAAACAAGCAGAAACCACCCTGTTATGTCGCAATAGCCAGCACAGTACCTTGTACTCAATCTTCCAGTCATGCTCCTTGCTGCTCTTGCTGTGGTTCCTGTACACCTCCACTCTGTACTGCCTCACCAACAGCAAATCTTTCGCAAAGGCCTCAAAGTTCAGCTTGCTCAGGACCACACTCTCCAGTTTGCGACTCCCTGTTGACCAACAAAAACACGTCAAATTCTTTGTAATGCGTCCTTCTCATGGCAGAGAGTGCTGGTGCTGCAGCTAGAACTGCAGCTAGCTATAAAGACTAAAACATCTAATATCTGAGTGAAGCAGTTTTTGTTCTCCATGTTTTTCTGTCAGTGACCTGACAGGAAATTTGTAGCTCAATGACTTATCTTCATTTAAACAAATGAAAAGAAGCAGTTAACAGCTTGAAAGTCCCTGAGACAATAAATGAAAACACTTAACTGTAAGAGGACCCCTCATCATTTCCCACAAAAACATACTGTCCAACATTTAATTAGCCATGGCAATGCTTCTGAACGTACAGGACCTGCTAGAGCTGCAGCTAATAGTAGCCACCTTAGCTACAACCTGTGAAACTCTTCCTCTGGCTACACGTTCACACAAACTAGGTTAGCTTAATAGTAAAGGCACCGAGGCAACCCTTGTTTAAAAGCGCCAACTGAAGTTAGCTTAGTGCACAGCTAAGCTAGTACCTGAACCCAAAAACTTGATGACCCCGTTCGTTTTGAAAACCTCCTTCGCCGCGAATATGGCGTCCTTCCCGTGAACCGTATAATATTCGTTACGGTCAAATATCCGGAATGTGGTGTCCGGCTTCTCCGGCATGGAGAAAATGAAGTTAAGAAAGCCGTGCTCGGCTGCGCTGTCCATGGACAGGTTCTGTTTCGGCTGCACCGCCATCCTGGAATCTCCCGCCACCGAGCAGAACCAAACAGGAAGTTGCGTTGACGAGATGTTCCCATAGAAACAAGAACGCAACCGGGGCCGCTTACTGGGAACATTTTTTATTCACAAATGCAGACATTTCAAAGCTAAACCACGTATAAACAGATGGTTGAATGATCTTAAACTCTCGAGTAAGTCGCGGAAACATGTAAATGACAAGAACGCCGCTCGCTTCTTCTTCTACTTCTTCAGTAGCTCGGAACACTAATGTTATGTAAACATTTTCGAACCTGACTTAAAACTTCAGTAATCACCGGAACATAAATAATATCGACTTTCTAACTCACATTTCTCAGTAAATAACTCAAAACTGATGAAATCGTTTAAAATATATTAAAACTAAAAGTTATTATGTCGAAATTTTTGAAATGATAACCCAAATTTTCGACTTCCATCCATCCATTCTCTTCCGCGTATCCTTACCAGGGTCGCCTGGGTGGTGCTGGGGCCTATCCCAGCTAGCATAGAGCAAGAGGAAAGGCACATCCTGGACAGGTCGCCAATCTATCACTGGGCTAACACATGCACACCTATGTGCAATTTAGAAACACCAATTAACATAATATATATACTCATATAATTATAATTAACCTCTTATGGATCAGAGTTGCCAGAATTTCATCAAACAAACTCAACATGGAGTTAATAGATCAGTAGATGCTTTTCAGTTACTGGAAACAAATTTCAGAGGGATTCACAAATAAGAAGCAGCCGAAAGATTCTGCAGTGAAGGCTTAGCTGAGCTTCTCAGGGGAGAAACCACTTCATGACCACACCCATGGGTTCTATACTTCAGGCAGTCATTTAATGCAAAGGATTTCTTCCAAGAATATGAAGCAGTCCTTTCATTTAAACTTATCATAGTTTGTCGTATTTAGAGTATGTGATGCTTCTTTCAGCTGCTACCCAGAAACAGTTAATTCAATTAAAACAAAAAATAACCCCATTGAATTAAGACCTCATCGACCTAACAGCACATGCTTTCTATACTTAGACCCTGAAGTGTAGACTGAACTTACTGACCTTTCTAACGTGAACTTAACTGGAACTAACATTTTTAAACTTATATAAAATAATTTTAGAAGTTAAAGAAAGTTATACTGATGTTTTTGACTTTTGAACCCTGTATAAATTGAATACACATCTACCAAACAAAAAATGAAATGTATGGATATCTGAGTGTTTGCATGCCAATATTATTATCAAGTAGCTGCAGTGAATGAGTTTTGTGTAATTACTGCAGCTGAGACAAAACAGTAAGCAGAAACAAGCAACACCTTTTCTTAAAACGATAAAAGCCCATTTGGATGGATGGCTATTTCGCTTTAATGCTTTATATATCAAGTGGTGCCTTCACGCATGTACAAGTTACCCATGGCATGTGCCCTTTTAGATGATCACAGAGGCATAACAAGCCAGATGCTCTTTAGGCTGAAGCATGTGTATTTCCATGACAAATGTCTAAATGTGATTCATCAGATAAAATAAGTTTTCTACTTTTCCTCAGTCCGTTGGAAATGAGCTTGACAAACCAGAAATATTTGTGAATTATATATTAATTCCTTGCATTACTTGCTTTAGGGCACATGGCAGCAAATTTTTTTCTGTGATATGTGCTGTTGATGAGTAAATACCTAATACTTACCTAATGTGTCGCTTGTGTTTCTTGCTGTCATATTGCTTATAGTGAACAGAACAATTCAGTGATAAAATAAACCAATTTGCACTGCTGATTGTTTCATTCTCTCTGTCTCACACCCAAAATATACAAACTTATCACAATCTGCACACTGACCTAAAGTGACCTTTGACCTACAGCAAGAAAAAGTAAATAAATGGAATAATTGTTATCTGATGATTATCTTACATGTCTTAATTTTATGTCTTTTAGTTTTTAAATTCTTACTGTTTTTAACTTTTTATTTATCGCTTTTATTTATTCTTTTTTTTTTTAGTTCAAATAGCTGTACAGCACTTTGGTTGAAAGCGCTTTATAAATAAAGTTACTAGTAACTTTATTTATAAAGCGCTTATTTATTATTCTTATTATGATTAAAATACTATATCACCATGCAAACAACATTTATTACTTATCAGATATCAGATCCCACAAGGCTTGTTTGTATTAAATCATTTTATTCATGAAAATAATATTACAAAATAAATGTCAAACCATGCACATTTCCATAATTAAGACATAGAGTTAAACAGACTGGTTGTAAGTATCTTTAATGGAGATATGTACCTTTGAAGCCCTCTGACATTTTGGGCTGTGTATTCCCAGCAGAAAAAAACATTGTGCTTTTGATTGTTGCTTATCAGGACAGTTCACGTGATTACACAACAATTTGATTTCCATAAACTTAAAAAAAAGAGCATGTGAAGTCATGAGCCTCACGAGCTTACTAAGCTTTTTTTGTATCAGAGCAACATAACTGGAACAAATCAACTCAGATGATTTAAAAAGGAGATTAAAAAGGTCTCAAGTGACGTTAGATATCTAGCGTCGGTTTCTTTCTTCTTCTTTTTTTTCTCTTTCTTCTTAGCAGGTGGGCGGGGTTGGTCAGTGTTTAACCCCTCTGACGATGCTTCCTTTTTTGACGTACGCACGACTCCGACCAATAGGAGCCTGATGCGCATCCCAGGCAGGCTCCATAAACACGATAACTACCGAATAGGCCAGCCAGACCCGCAGGGCAACTGAACTTCATCCTGAACTTCAGTCCAAGCGCGCCTTAACCATGAGTACAAAAGTCGGCGACATCGTGGAGGAGTTCCACACAGACAACAAGATGTCAACCGTCAACAACCACCACGAGACATCCCGCAAAGAGTTGGAGGACGCGTCCCGGTTACCGGCGCTGGAGGCCGCCTACACCGACATCCTCAGGCGTCTTGGGGAGGACACCGACCGGGAGGGGCTGTTGCGCACCCCGTTGCGCGCAGCTAAAGCCATCCAGTTCCTCACCAAGGGCTACCATGAGACCATCGATGGTGAGTCACCTGGGAAAAAGTTGAGAGGGAATGAGAGAGTGAGTTAGCACTTAACTTAACTCAGGATTCAGCATATTTTTACTTATGAACGTTTGGTTGGTCAAATCATGATATTTCAAATCTTCACAGACGTTAAAATTAAAAGATCAAGGCACAAAATAACGGGTAGATCAAGTATTATTAGTATTAAGCATTATTATTATGATTCCAGGATATTGAAAAGATTTCAGATGAATGTTTCTGTTAACTGAAGTAAAGATAATGGAATAATTTAAATGCATACGTTTGCTTTTGTATCACCAGACATCTTAAACAATGCCATATTTGATGAAGACCACGATGAGATGGTGATTGTGAAAGACATAGACATGTTTTCACTATGTGAACACCACATGGTGCCCTTTTTTGGCAAGGTAGGTCTATGTGACTGAAAGAAATGTTACATTTAAAAAAAGAAAGAGTGAGACAAGAAAGAAAGCTTTCTTACTCATTAAGCATTGTTCAATGAATTAATTTCAGCATTCAACCGCTAATATTGACCTCCTGTATTTCTCTGATTATGTGCTCTCACTGGCTGTCGTCCCTCTCCAGGTTCACATTGGGTATATTCCCAACAAAAAAGTGGTGGGACTGAGCAAGCTGGCAAGGTAACAGAGTACGCACGCACCCACACACACACATGCACTGTACCCTCCAGCTGCCACTGTGTCTGTATGTTTCTCGTGTTAGTGTCAGCTGACTGTGTTCTTCTGTTATTCCAGTGCATTGACCTGGAGGCTTAGAGCCTAAACACACTGGCCATCATCTAGGCCTCTCATCAGACACAAGTCTAAACTCTGCTCGCTCCCGAGCCATGAGAAAATCCTTTTGGACCTGTGGGAATCCCAGATTATTATCACAGCCTATCTGCCTGTCTCCTTCTCCTCCTGTCCTAAAATATCTCTTTAAATTTGAATATAGTGATGCAGAGTTACAGTAGCTGCAGATGAACTTGAGACAGTCTCACTAACGTTGAACTATGAATGACAAATTTACAGAATGTGACTGATTCACAGATGACAAGTTATACAGTCTGCTGAGAAGAGGCCGGTAGTCAGGGACTGATGCCAGACTGTGTTTATTAAAAACTGAATCATTATTAATCTCCTTGGCTTTGCTTGTGTTCTGATTTCTGCAGGATTGTGGAGATCTTCAGCCGTAGGCTTCAAGGTAAGCATCCGGCAAATGTGTGCACGTAGTAACAGCATGAAACTGGCATCGTCTAGTTTACCGTATAAGCTGAATTTCTTTGTTTTGTTTTGGTTTCAGTTCAAGAGCGACTGACTAAGCAGATCGCCATTGGGATATCTGAGGCTCTGAATCCAAAAGGTGTAGCTGTGGTTATTGAAGCGGCGTAAGTACAAACATACACACACAAACTACCTTCAACATTATTATCTGTACAGCTTAAAGCTGCTGTTATATTGCACAGATATTCATATAGCATTATATGACACAAAATACTGGCCTTAAGCAGAGCTTAGGAGCCAGTAAGCTTAGGAGCTGCAGAGGTTTGATAAGCGCACTTGTGTGTTTTGCAGGCACATGTGTATGGTGATGCGTGGTGTCCAGAAGATGAACAGCCGCACAGTGACAAGCACCATGCTGGGAGTCTACCTCGAGGACCCCAAAACCCGGGAGGAGTTCCTGCATCTTTCACGGCGCACTTAACAGACATCACGTGCCATCCACTCCTAAGCCTCTGTCTACAGTTGCACATGGAAAGCTCTAGAGTTCCAGGGGATCTGCATCTGACTGCTGCAGATCCAAGACCTTCACCTCTCGATCTAACCTCAATACACTGAAGCCGTGAAGATTTCAGTCTTACTGCTGATCATCTATTGTTGGAATCACTGTGAACACAACATACTTACTTTGATGGTGCCTTTAAAAGATATTGTACAGTCTTCATTGGCAGTATAGTATATTATTATTGCCAAGTATACGACTTCGGTGCAATATTGTAATGTGACAATACTTAAGATTAAAAAAAAATTCTGATGGGACATTCACAGGTGCTCTTGCAAGGTTATTGCAATTGTTATTTACTGGTTTTGCTAATTTAACAAAACGTGTGTCCTTTATAAATACATTTATAAAGTCTTTTATGCATTATGTGGTATTTTAGGATGCATATTCAACTGTTTTGGCTGTAAAATGATTCAAATGAGTAGAGCTGATAGAAGTACTGAGTAGATGTTTGTTTGATCAGTGGCCACTGTGACAAGTCAAAAGCAGCATTCTGAAAGTTTTCAGTCCAATTTTGTTCATGTTGAAAAGAAATAAAACCTCAAGGGCAACTACTGTTGTGTGTTTGAACTATTCTATATACATTATATAAGATTGTAAGCATGTAGAGCATCCATACTGTGGAACAAATAAGATATAACATGGAAATAATTATGGAAATAAGACCCACAATTCACAAGACCTTTCAAGAATCTTCAGAAGCAAACACCCAACACACTAGACAAATGGGAAAAATGAAGCTAAATGAGTTATATCTCTCTGCTCTTTGTTGACTACAGCTCAGCAACAACGCTATCATTCCAAATAAGGTGGTGGTCAAACTACATATGTCACTGGATATTAGATTTTGTTAACAACCGCCTAACAACAGCCTGTCAGGCCAGGCAAGCACACATCCTCCACCCTCACTCTAAGTACTCAAGTCCTCTAAAGCTCTCTGTTGAGCCCTTTTCTCTGTGCTCTGTTCACACAACTGTAAACTCATGTAAAACTCAGACCATTGTTTGACACTGATTGAATTAATAACTTTATTTTGATTTAGTCTTGCTTTTTTTTT